CTTGGGACCACACAGCCACTCCACTGAATATTTAGGCTAGTGATTGTTTTGCAATGCTTTCAGTTAGCCACTGATTCCTTCCAAACCACTCATTGTTGAATTTGCGATTTCCAACTTGTTGTGTAATGTTCATGTCCAATGGCCAATGAGCACCGATACGTTTGATCTATAATTTCTCTTCGTTATTTATCTTCATATGACAAGGATTAAAAAGGATTTGCCAGTAGATTGTCGACTTGATTCATGATGATGACTGCTAGCTAAGATTTTGAAAGTATGATGTTGACATGATCAGTCCAATCAAAGCTACAGTAGATATAACATGATTTGACGTGATTTTATCTGGGGCCAATGACCTTGAGCCTTCTCGGTGGGCACTTCTAATGTAACTCTGTGTCGGCACCCAAGGGGCTTTTTTTGCTCTACCCTTAGACTTGGCGGTGACATAGTGTCCCCATGTGTGACAGAACACTGAGCCAATCACGGCACAACTAGAGAACATTACCAAACCCTACAATCCGTATTTTCCGCTGGGTGCCCCACCACCACCACAGAAAGCACCGAGCTAGTCTGAAACACCTGCATTTTGGAGCTGCCTTACTCAAGAAAGCAAAAAAATAGACCATGTTTGTATGCGGCTTTATTAACTCAATGATCTTTATTTATTTTCACATTGTTTGCAACTCCCAAACTGCAACACAAAATAAAGGTACTGCAACATGACATGCATGATATTCAATGCATGTCCAGTCCATGACAACTGAAGTACCCAAAAAACATTTTGTTTTGCATTCACGCGCTTACCTGATGCTTTGAGAAAATTACGAACGTCCTCTTTTAGAGATTCTAATTTTATCTCAGGTCTATGCAAACACTCCTAAATAGAATAAGAAAACAGTTCAGCAAATTCGCTATGTAGATATTTTGACATGTCAACCGGTTACTGATTGTAAAAGCAATATTATAGCTAGATAAGGCAAAATATTGGTATGGCTTTGGTAGCTGTCAAATATATAATAATATAATATGCCATTTAGCAGACGCTTTTATCCAAAGCGACTTACAGTCATGTGTGCATACATTTTTACGTATGGGTGGTCCCGGGGATCGAACCCACTACGCTGGCGTTACAAGCGCCAGTCTCTACCAATTGAGGTACAGAGGACTACAGCGGACAAGAAGGAAAACATTCGGTGGTGCACACTCCTTTCGGTTCTGGAGAGCAGCTACTCACTTTGGCCTGTCTCTCTATTTGAGAGTGTAAATGAGTTCCTTTAAGTCGCTGGATAATGTGCGCAATTGTCAGTGATAATTCCGTTCCCTCATCCATTATTTTCAAAGCTCGTTTTGGTGTAACTATGATAGGGCAGTTTGATTTTCAGAATCCATTGGGTATCCAGTCATTGGACTGTCCGGTGACGCTGCCTGGTTACTTAACAATTACAGACTATGCATATAGAGGAAAGCGAGATTAGGTCCTAGCCCAGAGATTAGGTCCTAGCCCATTATAAATGTCAAGATTATGTTTATTTTGTTGCCTGGTAATTAGTTATTGCAGTACCAGTGTGTTAATAGCCTGCAAGCTCTACCTCTCTTTTTATTTTCTATTTTTAACCAAGTCATTACTAGTAAAAATCCCTGAATGAAAAACATGTCCTTCCTTCTTTGCATAATCAAAAGATAAGACCATATATATATATATATATATATATAACATGGTACATCTCTATGGATAAGACATTGTTTGGACTCAAATTTTCTAGATTATTTATGTTTTTGTGGTGCTGTATCCAACAACATCTCATTATCATAGCATTACTTAGCCTATAAAAAGGTAGAATCATTTGAGTAAGCCAAGCTTAAAATAACAATGACCTGCTACATGTAGCCTATGTCTCTGCTATGACTATGTCACCGACATCCAAAGGTAAGAACAGTGGTGTAAAGTACTTAAGGAAAAATACTTGAAAGTACTACTTTAGTCGTTTTTTGGGGTATCTGTACATTTCTATTTCTATTTTTGACAACTTTTACTTTTACTTCACTACATTCCTAAAGAACATGATGTACTTTTTACTCCATACATTTTTCCCTGACACCCAAAAGTACTTGTTACATTTTGAATGCGTAGCAGGACAGGAAAATGGTTCAATTCACACACTCAAGAGAACACCCCTGTAGGGGACTCACTAAACACACCTTTTTCGTTTGTAAATGATGTCTGAGTGTTGGAGTGCGCCCCTAGCTATCCGTAAATACATTTTAAAAAACAAGACAAGTGTGCCGTCTGGTTTGCTTTAACATAAGGAATGTGTTATTATTTATCCTTGTACTTTTAGACTTTTACTCTAGTAGTATTTTACTGGGTGACTTTCACTTTTACTTGAGTCATTATCTATTAAGTTATCTTTAGTTTTACTCAAGTATGTCAATTGGGTACTTTTTCCACCACTGTGTAAGAAATCAATTTAAAAGTTTGTGGGTGTCCACCATATACAGAGGGGGAAAAATGTATTTAGTCAGCCACCAATTGTGCAAGTTCTCCCACTTAAAAAGATGAGAGAGGCCTGTAATTTTCATCATAGGTACACGTCAACTATGACAGACAAATTGAGATTTTTTTTCTCCAGAAAATCACATTGTAGGATTTTTAATGAATTTATTTGCAAATTATGGTGGAAAATAAGTATTTGGTCACCTACAAACAAGCAAGATTTCTGGCTCTCACAGACCTGTAACTTAATAATAATAATAACTTATTCTTTAAGAGGCTCCTCTGTCCTCCACTCGTTACCTGTATTAATGGCACCTGTTTGAACTTGTTATCAGTGTAAAAGACACCTGTCCACAACCTCAAACAATCACACTCCAAACTCCACTATGGCCAAGACCAAAGAGCTGTCAAAGGACACCAGAAACAAAATTGTAGACCTGCACCAGGCTGGGAAGACTGAATCTGCAATAGGTAAGCAGCTTGGTTTGAAGAAATCAACTGTGGGAGCAATTATTAGGAAATGGAAGACATACAAGACCACTGATAATCTCCCTCGATCTGGGGCTCCACGCAAGATCTCACCCCGTGGGGTCAAAATGATCACAAGAACGGTGAGCAAAAATCCCAGAACCACACGGGGGGACCTAGTGAATGACCTGCAGAGAGCTGGGACCAAAGTAACAAAGCCTACCATCAGTAACACACTACGCCGCCAGGGACTCAAATCCTGCAGTGCCAGACGTGTCCCCCTGCTTAAGCCAGTACATGTCCAGGCCCGTCTGAAGTTTGCTAGAGTGCATTTGGATGATCCAGAAGAGGATTGGGAGAATGTCATATGGTCAGATGAAACCAAAATATAACTTTTTGGTAAAAACTCAACTTGTCGTGTTTGGAGGACAAAGAATGCTGAGTTGCATCCAAAGAACACCATACCTGCTGGAAGCATAGGGGTGGAAACATCATGTTTTGGGGCTGTTTTTCTGCAAAGGGACCAGGACGACTGATCCGTGTAAAGGAAAGAATGAATGGGGCCATGTATCGTGAGATTTTGAGTGAAAACCTCCTTCCATCAGCAAGGGCATTGAAGATGAAACGTGGCTGGGTCTTTCAGCATGACAATGATCCCAAACACACCGCCCGGGCAACGAAGGAGTGGCTTCGTAAGAAGCATTTCAAGGTCCTGGAGTGGCCTAGCCAGTCTCCAGATCTCAACCCCATAGAAAATCTTTGGAGGGAGTTGAAAGTCCGTGTTGCCCAGCGACAGCCCCAAAACATCACTGCTCTAGAGGAGATTTGCATGGAGGAATGGGCCAAAATACCAGCAACAGTGTGTGAAAACCTTGTGAAGACTTACAGAAAACGTTTGACCTGTGTCATTGCCAACAAAGGGTATATAACAAAGTATTGAGAAACTTTTGTTATTGACCAAATACTTATTTTCCACCATAATTTGCAAATAAATTCATAAAAAATCCTTCAATGTGGTTTTCTGGATTTTTCTTTCTCATTTTGTCTGTCATAGTTGACGTGTACCTATGATGAAAATTACAGGCCTCTCTCATCTTTTTAAGTGGGAGAACTTGCACAATTGGTGGCTGACTAAATACTTTTTTTCCCCACTGTAGGCTACCATGGCTGAGGGTTTAGGAGGGGCATTTTTTGAATATGATATGCATCTTAGGTCTAACTATAGTCATCGTGATACAATTACTGAGAGGAGAAGATTTTTATGCAAAACATGCATGTGGAGTTATGGCATGTTGATGGATTGCGATCATCGGGTGATCCTCTGTCCAGTCCCCTCCTATAATGACAGCCTATTATCTCTCATGCGAACAACCAATTACGGGAGGAAATGGTCTTTGACATTGACTCTGACATTATTAAGTCTCGCAGATCCTGCATGTAGTCCGTTTTTGTTGTTGTTCAGATAACAATCTAAAACTATTTTAGTTTTGTTGAAAACATTTGATGTGATATTCTTGAAATATTGTCAGTAATACGTTTACAAATCTCCATTTGAAAATGTAGAGGCTGCTGTTGCACCTTGCACGACCAAAGGTTCGAGAGGCGGGGTCTCTTCAAAAGCAGAGTTTCTCTATGGTTCTCCTGTATTTCTCATATCAACATTGAAGCGCCGGAGGGAGCGCAACAGGAAGCGCGGGAGGGAGCGCAACAGACTGCATGCAGCGGACGCTTGACTTCAATCATTTTTGCTCACTGACTCGGTTACTTGTACATTTCGTTGAAAAACGGGACAATTCTCTTAAATCAAATAGAAATGGAGTCATGCAAACTTCTCTGAATAGGACATCTTCAGTTCTAGGATCTTTTAAGACTTTTCCCCTGGAGAATATGAACATGACGTTTGGGAAGTGTGATTTGCTGACATTATAATGTCAAATTTGGCGTCGTCATAGACTGCGAAGGATGGACGGAATGGGTTCCATTACTTGGCCTATAATCTCAATTTAAGCATCAGAAAAAAATAGATAGAACAGCGAAAATGGAACCATTTACATTGCATGATATGCTCATAAACTCAACAAATCTTAATAAGATATTATGTGACTCTGGAATCAAGAATGTCTCAGAGTGTGAAGATGAAAGCGAGACGGCTCCTGAACCGAAAGGTAACCAATCCTATTGATAATCATAAATTGGGGGAAATTAAATTAACAAAAAGTAAACTAATTGTACATATCTTTTAAATCTAAATAACTATGTTTTAGTGGAGATATTGATGAAAAGTCATAAAACGGTTTTATTTTGAGATCATAACACTCCCCAGCCTGTTACACACACGTTGTGTCATTTGTTTTTGTTTGTGAAAATATATTTTGTCTCAAATAATACATATTTTAAACAGAGCGACCCTTTGGACACCACCAAGCAGGGCCACTGCGCTTTACGCGCGGTTGAAGTAGCATGCGTTCTTTCGGCTCCTCTGCTTGGATGGAGTGCCCGAGGGCTGAATATCATTATTTAAACATAAATTAATACTATAAGTTAGTACCAGATCAACACGTATTGTATATTTGCTTAAGTCAAAATGGTCTGACTGTTACATTGACGGAAATGATCTCTGAATTATCATTGAAATTAAGCTGATATGTATAATATAGATCTATAATCATTAAAATATTAAATACGAGACAGGACATGTTGAATTTAGTGTTGCTAATTCAAGCACCACATTTGCACACACTGTTCCCCTGAGTGATGCGGCCAACCAGAACTGACTCCAACTGAATTCCAGCTTGCCTTTACTAACGCTGGCTCTAAAATAACCAGGATGAGTAATGCACAACAAAAATATTTTATAATCGAATTAGGATACACTTAAATGAACGTCAACCTCTTTACACAAGGGCCATGCCATTAAAAACAGACAATTAATTTATTATTTGAAAGTTAAGACATTGATCATGATGATCTAAATAATATAGGGATGATAATGATGTTGATTATTATTAAGATAAGGATGTTTATGATAATGATTATGACAACGATAATAATAATAATAATAATAATAATAATAATAATGATGCTCTGGATAAGAGCGTCTGCTAAATGACTAAAATGTAAATGTAAATGATGATCAGGACAATTATCACAACAATGATGTTGACCAATTCTCTCTCCTCTGTATAGATTTGAACCAGACGGTACGTATCTTCCTCTATAGCCTCATCTTCCTTGTCAGCGTTCTGGGTAACAGCCTGATCATCGCCGTGTTGGTCAGGAACCGCCGCATGCGCACCGTCACCAACCTGTTCCTGCTCTCCCTGGCCGCCAGCGACCTGATGCTCTGCCTCTTCTGCATGCCCTTCACCCTCATCCCCAACCTCATGAGGGACTTTGTGTTCGGCTCGGGCATCTGCAAGGTGGCCATGTACTTCATGGGTGAGTTTACTGTACACAGGTCATGACCCTGGTGCCGATATGGTACTTGAGAAACAAGGTTGTGGCCATGTACTTCATGGGTGAGTTTACTGTACACAGGTCATGACCCTGGTGCCGATATGGTACTTGAGAAACAAGGTTGTGGCCATGTACTTCATGGGTGAGGGATGCACTGTACACAGGTCCTGACCTGGCACCGTATTCACAGAGCGTATCATAGTTGGAGTGCTGATCGAGGATCTGTCCATATTGAAAACATTGAATTCAGTGAGTTACAACCTAACCCTGGTCCGAGGTACTTGAAACAAGGTATGTACTCAGGGAGAGTCGCACTGTACACAGGTACTGCATTTCCGGCGTATCATGTGAGTTGATCGAGGATCTGTCATATATTAATTCATTAAATTAAAGGCACTGTTCTGGCACTCCACACTTTGTTTTACTTATGTTTTTTTTGGGGTACTTTTTCACCCCAATTTCGTGATATCCAATTAGTAGTTACAGTCTTGTCCCATCGCTGCAACTCCCGTATGGACTCGGGAGAGGCGAAGGTCAAGAGCCACGCGTCCTCCGAAACACGACCCCCGCCAAGCCGCACTGCTTCTTGACACACTGCTCGCTTAACCCGGAAGCCAGCCGCAACAATGTGTTCGGAGGAAACACCGTCCAGCTGACGACCCAAAGTCAACGTAGCACTCCTACTCCGAGAGGCTTGGTGGATACGGGCCATGGTCACGTTTTCACAAAGCGTAATGGGTTTGTCTGTTGGGATTTCCGTGGTACTGCAATAGAAGGTGTTTACATGCTCATAGTTAAGGTATGTGTACTGTATTGTACATGATCAGTAGGGTCAGAAACATGCATGGTCTCACCTTGTTATTGTCTTCTACACTGATGTCACTCACTTCAAGGGGTCAGGTAAGGGAAGTGAGTACAGTAGGTTCTGTCCACATAACCACATAGGAAGATACCTTTAAGTTCCAACCACTCACTCACCGAACTATCATGAACACATGGGGGGGGGGGGGCTGATAATAGAAAATCAACAGAGAAGCAGATCCCAGAATCCATTGAGACAATAAAACCTCCCTTTTGTCTCTGACCTGGTGCCCAGTGTGAAGAGACACCAAATAAAGTAATCTGATAGCCTACATTCTTGTCTATTGGTTCCCCCATCGCCTCTCCTCCACCGGGGCTGTAAATATACTGGCCCGTCTCCTGATTTACTCGGAGCAGAAAGGTCCAGGTCACAAGGCAAGAAGATGAGGAAGAAGAGTGATGTTTGTTGTTGACAAGTGTCTCAATGACTTGAAACTCTCAGGCACAGAAATATCAATGTCTATCTAGTTGATGATCCATTCTCTAGAGCCATTTATAGTCAAGGCTGTACCGTTCTCATGCTTGATAACCCGCTAGAAAACATTCCATTGATATTTTTTGTCTAGATTTTGTATGGATAGACAGGTCCCGGATACAGCATAGCCCTATGCATAGCTGGAATTTTAAGCGCTCTTGTAGTTCAAATCTTTTTCAACAATATTTCCTGACTGGATATTACATGGATATATCCTAGGTAAATGCATTTCTATCAGCTGGTTTAAGTCTGTATTATTCAATGTCTTTGGGAACATTTTCTACTTTTGGTGTTTGTTAATAGTCAGATAGTTCACAGCCTTCCTGATCTGCGGTGAGATCACGGCCATGTCAGTAGCGATGATTACCTCATCTGTCACGGTGTGTATTTATTGGTGCCGTTGTTCGTTATTATGACTTTGTGAGTTTGGTAACGTCCACCGGTTAACGGATGGGGTTGTTGATCATCCACAAGTGCTGGAACTTACCTCTGTACTTTACGAGCGTGTAGAGACAAAGTGACTAGCCATGAAAGTGTCAGGCCAGCTATTAGAAGTATTACTGTAGAGAAAGTGTCAGGCCAGCTATTAGAAGTATTACTGTAGAGAAAGAGTCATTCCCACCTGCTGTATGTACAGTATTACAATAGACATTGTACAGGGTTTAAAGGGGCAATCTGCGATTGCTACATTCATTTTTGGACTTTTAAATTAATGATATACAGTATACCCTGATTCTTGAAAAATGTAACTTATAAATGCCTCATGAGCTTAGTTTAACTGAGTGTACTGCATTAGCATCGAACAGTCCCCGCGATATGCAACTTTTCAGGGAAGTCAGGAACCAATATACACAATCAGTTAGGAAAGCAAAGGCTAGCTTTTTCAAACAGAAATGTGCATCCTGTAGCACTAACTTCAAAAAGTTTTGGGACACTGTAAAGTCCATGGAAAATAAGAGCACCTCCTCCCAGCTACCCACTGCACTGAGGCTAGGAAACACTGTCACCACCGATAAATCTACGATAATCGAGAATTTCAATAAGCATTTTGCTACGGCTGGCCATGCTTTCCATCTGGCTACCACTACCCCGGCCACCAGCTCTGCACCCTCCACTGCAACTTGCCCATGCCCCCCCGCTTCTCCTTCACCCAAATTCAGACAGCTGATGTTCTGAAAGAGCTGCTAAATCTTGACCCCTACAAATCAGCTGGGCTAGACAATCTGGACCATTTCTTTCTAAAATGAGCTGCCGAAATTGTTCAACCTCTCTTTCGTATCGTCTGAGATCCCCAGAGATTGGAAAGCTGCCGCGGTCATCCCCCTCTTCAAAGGGGGTGACACTCTAGATCCAAACTGTTACAGACCTATATCCATCCTGCCCTGCCTTTCGAAAGTATTTGAAAGCCAAGTTAACAAACAGATCATCGACCATTTCGAATCCCACCGTACCTTCTCCGCTATGCAATCTGGTTTCCGAGCTGGTCATGGGTGCACCTCAGCCACGCTCAAGGTCCTAAACGATATAATAACCGCGATTGATAAAAGACAGTACTGTGCAGCTGTCTTTATCGATCTGGCCAAGGCTTTTGACTCAACCACCGCATTCTTATTGGCAGACTAAATAGCCTTGGTTTCTCAAATGACTGCCTCGCCTGGTTCACCAACTACTTCTCAGATAGAGTTCAATGTGTCAAATCGGAGGGCCTGTTGTCTGGAGCTCTGGCAGTCTATGGGGGTGCCACAGGGTTCAATTCTCGGGCCGACTCTATTCTCTGTGTATATCAATGATGTCGCTCTTGCTGCTGGTGACTCTCAGATCCACCTCTACGCAGACGACACCCTTCATTGGACACTGTGTTAACAAACCTCCAAACGAGCTTCAATGCCATACAGCACTCCTTCCATGGCCTCCAACTGCTCTTAAACGCTAGTAAAACTAAATGCATGCTCTTCAATCAAATGCTGCTTGCACCCGCCCGACTAGAATCACTACTCTCGGCAGGTCTGACTTAGAATATGTGGACAACTACAAATACCTAGGTGTCTGGTTAGACTGTAAACTGTCCTTCCAGACTCACATTAAGCATCTCCAATCCAAAGTTAAATCTAGAATCGGCTTCCTATTTTGCAACAAAGCCTCCTTCACTCATGCTGCCAAACATGCCCTCGTAACACTGACTATCCTACCGATCCTTGACTTGGGCGATGTCATTTACAAAATAGCTTCCAACACTCTACTCATCAAATTGGATGTAGTCTATCACAGTGCCATCCGTTTTGTCACCAAAGCCCCATATACTACCCACCATTGTGACCTGTACGCTCTCGTTGGCTGGCCCTCACTACATATTCGTCGCCAAACCCACTGGCTCCAGGTCATCAATAATTCACTTCTAGGCAAATCCCCACCTTATCTTAGATCATTGGTCACCATAGCAACACCCACCCGTAGTATGCGTTCCAGCAGGTATCTCTCACTGGTCATCCCCAAAGCCAACACCTCCTTTGGCCGCCATTCCTTCCAGTTCTCTGGTGCAAATGACAGGAACGAACTGCAAAAATCTCTGAAGCTGGAGACACTTATCTCCCTCACTAACTTTAAGCATCAGTTGTCAGAGCAGCTTACCGATCACTGCACCTGTACACAGCCCATCTGTAATTAGCCCACCCAACTACCTCATCCCCATATTGTTTACATTGTTATTTATTTTTCTCATTTGCACCCCAGTATCTCTATTTGCACATCATCTTCTGCACATCTATCACTCCAGTGTTAATACTAAATTGTAATTATTTTGCACTATGGCCTATTTATTGCCTTACCTCCATAACTTACTACATTTGCACACACTGTATATAGATTTTCTATTGCGTTATTGACTGTAAGTTTTGTTTATTCCATATGTAACTCTGTGTTGATGTTGTTTTTATCGCACTGCTTTGCTTTATCTTGGCCAGGTCACAGTTGTAAATGAGAACTTTTTCTCAACTGGCTTACCTGGTTAAATAAAGGTGAAATAAATATATTTTTTTTATAATAATGTTACGTACAAAATCACAGTCGTACAAAATCACACATGCTAGTGTAGCCTACATTCTTGTCTGTTATCGATCTATTAAATCAGATTCTATACTCACTCCTGTGGTATAAAACTGTGGACCGTTATCCGTCGTCATCTCTCCAGGGATCTCGGTGAGCGTCTCTACCTTCAACCTGGTGGCCATTTCTCTGGAGCGCTACAGTGCCATCTGCAACCCCCTGACCTCCCGTACCTGGCAAACCAAGTCCCACGCCGCCAAGGTCATCTCTGCCACCTGGGTGGTGAGCTTCCTGTTCATGCTGCCCTACCCAATCTCCGGCACCCTGGTGCCCTTCACCCGGGTCAACAACAGCACGGGCAACATGTGCCGCCTGGTCTGGCCCAGTGATGTCATCCAGCAGTCCTGGTGAGAGGAGAGTTTAATTTCGGCAGACGGATGCCATCACAAAGAGGGGTTTCAACTGTTAGGTGATTTTCACTGTAAATAATGGAGAGGTCTGTGCAAAATATGAAATGGGATTTTCATGTCTATTACTTTAAGGGGGAAGTATCTAATTCATTGATTTGTTGGTCTGTTAGATTATAGATACTTAAACAATCTAATAAAGATAAAGGTCATTGCTGAGCTCAGAGATCTGTTCTCTGTAAAGTCAATTCACTTTGATGCACTGACTGGACACTTGCTTTCGACCAATTCGGTGACGCCATCGACCCTTCTTCCTTCCAGGTATGTGTCCCTGCTGCTGCTGCTCTTCCTGGTTCCTGGGATCATGATGATGACAGCCTATGGCCTCATCTCCCTGGAGCTCTACAGGGGCATCACGTTTGAGGTGGCCAACAGGAAGTCCAGCAGAGGTACGTATATAAAACCTCAACTGACCTCTTGAAAATGTCCAGCTCTGGCCATATTATCATGTCATATGAATTTGGTGGCCTCCTTATTGGTAATTGTTTACAATTGGCTAATCTTTGGTAAATCTAATTTGCACGGGGTCAGTCATTATTCACATATTTTTATGAGCTATTACAGAGATGATTTCTTTATCTTTATTAGATCCACCTCTGTCAGCTATAATTTTTATTCAGAGAAATCAACTTTAGTTTAAGTTAATTTGTATTCATCTCTACTGTTATGATCTGTCACAGAGAGACAGTACAGCACAGGCAGCATCAAACCCGGCGACAGCGACGGCTGCTACCTTCAGCCCACCAAGAAGAAGAAGGGCGAACTCGCCCACCTCCAGAACCCTCCGTCGACCCCCAGCTCTAACGTGACCATCAACGGCAGAGACAACACGGGCAGTGCTAGCACCAAGTCCAAGCTGAGTCGCGTGTGCAGCAACAGCTCCACCTGTAATCTGATGGCTAAGAAGCGTGTGATCCGCATGCTCCTGGTCATCGTCTGTCTCTTCTTCCTCTGCTGGATGCCCGTGTTCGCCGTTAACGCCTGGCGGGCCTTCGACCGCCGCTCTGCCGACAAGCTCCTCTCGGGGGCGCCGATATCCTTCATCCACCTGTTGTCGTACACCTCCGCTTGTGTCAACCCCATTATATACTGCTTCATGAATAAGCGTTTCCGCCAAGGGATTCTGTCCACCTTCACCTGCTGTAGCCGCCCCAAGGGTGGTGGGGTTGGGAGGAGGATGGGGACGGGGAGAGGGGGAGGAAGAGGAGGGACGAGGAGCGGAGAGGAGAACGGGCACACGCCGCCTAGAGGTAACAACACGCGCTTCACCTACAGTAGCATCCGTGGTTCCGCCCAGGCTTAGCCCCGCCCCCCCCCCCCCCCCCCCTCCGCCCAGGCTTAGCCCCCCCCCCCCCGCTCCGCCCAGCCCAGGCTTAGCCCTCTCCCCCCGCTCCGCCCAGGCTTAGCCCCCCCCCCCCCCCCCTTTTTCAGAGCCATGTAAGATCTCCATGTGCATGTGTAGCAGATGAACCCTGGATGACCCTTGTGTGTGTGTTCTCCTCCTCTCTGCATAATATTCTTTCTGGACACATTCTTGTCAGGGACTTGAAAGTTACAAACCACAGCCCAGTGATGACACCACGTTCCCCAAGACATTTATAACTTCCCATACCTCTGACTCCCTTTTGCAGGCAGTGTGACACAGAAATATGCCCAAATGTGTAAATACTTACTGACTAATCGTTCCCATCCCTGGCAGTTTTGTGTCCTAGTGTCACGCTGAAAAAACACGTTCCTCGTAGCATAGCGTCATGCTGAAAAAACACGTTCCTAGCCTCGTAGCATAGTGTCATGCTGAAAAAACACCTTCCTAGCCTCGTAGCATAGCGTCATGCTGTGATACACCTCGTGGGCGCACAAAAAGCTGTGTTTTCTCGTCCTTGACCCAGTCAGCTTTTATCGTTGTACCACGTGTACTATTGTAAGTGACATGACTGTGGCCTTATCGTGGTGTGGGACTCTGTGCACCTGTCTGTACCCCTACTTCAAAAGGGACCTTTCCCAGCATTCCCTGTCAAGCATACCGCATCTGGTCTTCGTTGACTTGGGTTGTTAAATACACTGCAGCACAAATGTTTTCCTCGCTGTTGTTTTGTAGCATCATGTCAAATGTTAATTGGATTATTTTAGTGTTGCTCTAAGGGAAATTGTTATGTAACGTGCATGGGATACATAACTGAAAAAAAAGTAAATTAAATATTAAAAGTCTGTAGTGTTGTATGAGAATGTCAGAATGCATTTCTGTTCTGCTACACTACTTCCTGGTCTCTGGTGGGGGCCTTTCAAATCTGAGTTATGAGCTACAGTAGAGAGGTGTGCTGGTGGATTGCACTGGAAGGGCCAGTGGGGTCTTCTTCAACATGAGGCTTCAGAGAAGCATAAACACCACTGGGCATATCACGTCATTTCTACGCGGAGAATTGGGTAATATTTAGTAGATACGTTGATCAATGAGATTCCAACCTATTTTCACCCACTCAAAAAGACAGCCAAAAGTTTGTTACATTCCCAACGTGTTATCACTATGCTTTCAACCATCGAAAAGCACAACCAAATTCAAAATGAAAAATAAAATGTCTGATTTTGAGTATAGTTGTCACATAAATGTGTTATCACTGCGCTTTCAACCATTTAAAACCACAACAAAGTTCAAATGGGAATACAATGTCAGACATTTTGTTTATTTATAAAAAAAAAAACTTAATGTGTTATCATCGTGCTTCATCTAATAGCACAACCAAGTGACCTGGATTGCAGTTGAGATTACATTATAGTACATGGTGCAAATGATTAATGCCGTTTGAGATTCTGTACAAATTATTATAGCAATTGTGAAGATTTCCACAGACCTGTGACCCCTGAACGCTTTCCGATTACATAAGACGTTTAATGTTACAGGAACCTCAAAATGCGGCCACTGATGTGTTCCTTATTTTACGGTTGAATAAATACGGTTACATTAGTTTGTAAGCCTTAACATTAGGCTATTTACAGTTTTGCAAAAGTGATATTGAATTGTGTTTGGTTGTCAACGCAACCAAATATCAACATTTGAAGGAGATGCATCCATCTTTGCTACTGAGTCTGACTTTAATTCGAGTTTGTCTACACATTAATAATCAATATGTTGGATTCACAGCTCCATTTCAACCAAAATTCTAAGTTAAAGAATAGGACTAAATCAAATCAACTTTAAAATGCACTTTAAATACAGTTTGATTTGATACAATTATTTGACGGAGCAGTCCACTATTTTACAACTTGATGTTCGATGGTTCCTCACCCTGAAAGTAGTCTATGGGCCAGGAGAAACTGTAATCCATGGTTCAGTTTTCTTTAAAAAGCCACTACAAACTTCAGCTAACCTTAGCCACCACAAGCTAACAATCAATGGGGGTGTCGGGAGCATGAACATGTAATAAATAAATAAAATCAAAATCACCTTTTACTTAAAAGGTGATTTGGCCATAAAAAATTAAAATAAAACATGCCCCCATCACTCCCATTGATTGTGAGCTTGTGGTGGCTTTGGTTACATTTCATTTCCTCTGTTGAACCTACTACCCTTTGGAATGACTTCGATAGCAACAGTGAATCTATTAAGTGGAGATTTCTCAACAATCATTCTCATAGTAGCACATTGGTAATAGTCAGTGACTAATATCCAAGCTAAGCAGGGCTTGGTTAGGACCCTGGATGGCAGACCGAAGGGTAGCTGTAGATGTATCAACTCTCCAGTACAAGGTGCTGCCCAGCCTACTGCTTTTTTCTTATAGTGGAAATTACATTGGAGACCTGACATTGTTTCAAAGGTACAAATTCAACATATTTTATACAAGGTTGGTCTATGTTGAAAATTGGTTACCATGATGACATAATCCTGTGGTTACAATTTTACCATCAAAACAAGTTTACTTTGTTCAAATACACTACGTGACTAAAAGTATGTGGACACCTGCTCGTCGAACATCTCATTCCAAAATCATTGGCATTAATATGGAGTTGGTCCCCCCCATTGCTGCTATAACAGCCTCCACTCTTCTGAGAAGGCTTTCCACTAGATGTTGGAACACTGCTGCGGGGACTTGCTTACATTCAGCCACAAGAGCATTAGTGAGGTCGGGCACTGATGTTGGGCGATTAGGCCTGGCTTGCAGTCACCGTTCCAATTAATCCCAAAGGTGTTTGATGGGGTTAAGGTCAGGGCTCTATGCAGGCCAGTCAAGTTCTTCCACACCGATCTCAACAAACCATTTCTGTATGGACCTCGCTTTGTGCACGGGGGCATTGTCATGCTGAAACAGGAAAGGGCCTTCCCCAAACTGTTGCCACAAAGTTGGAAACACAGAATGTAATTGTATGCTGTGGCGTTAAGATTTCCCTTCAATGGAACTAAGGGGCCTAGTCCGAACCATGAAAAACAGCCCCAGACCATTTTTCCTCCTCCACCAAACTTTTCAGTTGGCACTGCATTGGGGCAGGTAGCGTTCTCCTGGCATCCGCAAAACCCAGATTCGTCCATCGGACTGACAGATGGTGAAGCGTGATTCATCACTCCAGAGAACGCGTTTCCACTGCTCCAGAGTCCAATGGCGGCGAGCTTTACACCACGCCAGCCGACGCTTGGCATTGCGCATGGTGATCTTTGGCTTGGGTTTGGCTGCTCGGCCATGGAAACCTATTTCATGAAGCTCCCGACGAACAGTTATTGTGCTGATGTTGCTTCCAGAGGCAGTTTGGCACTCAGTAGTGAGTGTTGCAAGCGAGGACAGACGTGCTACGTGCTTCAGCACTCCCGTTCTATGAGCTTGTGTGGCCTACCACTTCGCGGCTGAGCAGTTGTTGCTCCTAGACATTTCCACTTCACAATACCAGCACTTACAGTTGACCGAGGCAGCTCTAGCAGGGCAGAAATTTGACGAACTGACTTGTTGGAAAGGTGGTATCCTATGACGGTGCCACGTTGAAAGTCACTGAGCTCTTCAGTACGGGCCATTCTAGTGGCAATGTTTGGCTATGAGATTGCATGGCTGTGTGTTAGATTTTATACACCGGTCAGCAACAGGTGTGGCTGAAATAGCCGAATACACTAATTTGAAGGGATGTCCACATACTTGTGTATATAAAGAGTACATTCCACGTCACAATACGTTGACAAATTACGTTGAAACAACGTTGATTTAACCAGTTTGTGCCCAGTGGGTGACCTCTGAACTGGTTGTACAAACGCAGTAGAGTTGCATCACAGATGGACTATTTGCAGTGCAATGTCAGCCCCCCGATACTACCATGTTTTTGTATACTTTAGGTCATCCAATGTAAAAGACAGTTAATCTCACACATAATTTTGTAACTTTTTTATTTCTTGATTTTTTTTATGCCAGTATTGCAACTTTTTTCTTGTTTTTACCTTTAAATGACATGGAATTGCAATATGTACAAAAAACAAAACAAACAACCTATCATAATGTTATCAAAAACCAGTCCCCTTGTTTCACGTTATTGCTAAAAATGTTACAAACTGCACAGGTTTCTACCATCAGCAACCCTTCGATCACTGAGTATACTACCACTGACACCTCTGTTTACTATTACTAGAACATTACACACAGAGTGAGAGAGAGGGGAAGATGGAGCGTGTGTGAGGGGAGAGAGATCCAGAGACAGAGAGAGGTGAGAGAGAGCGAGAGGTAAGAGAGAGAGAGAGAGGGTAAGATGGAGCGTGTGTGAGGGGAGAGAGATACAGAGTGTGTGAGGGGAGAGAGATACAGAGTGTGTGAGGGGAGAGAGATACAGAGTGTGTGAGGGGAGAGCGAGACACAGAGACAGAGAGAGGTAGAAGAGAGAGAAGTGAGAGAGAGAGCGAGAGGTAAGAGAGAGAGAGAGCGAGGTCAGAGAGTGAGAGAGAGGTGAGAGAGAGAGGTGAGAGAGAGGTGAGAGAGAGGTGAGAGAGAGAGAGAGAGAGAGAGGTGAGAGAGAGAGAGGTAAGAGAGAGAGAGTGAGGTGAGAGAGAGAGAGAGAGAGAGCGAGAGAGAGAGAAAGAAAGAAAGAAGAAAGAAAGGGGACTGCAGCGAAGCTAGGTGTACAGAGCTAAGAGAGTGTAAAGTGATGAGAGGGAAGTAAAACCATACGTACACAGAGAGGGAAACATTAGCACTCCATAATGCAGCCAGCCAATCGTCTTGAGGAAGGCTGAGCGTGTCAGAGAAAGGCTCCTCCCACACGCCTTTTCATCTATTTAAAGCTACCTCTCACTCCGTCCTATTTAGTTTAGCAGAGAAATCTACATTATAAAAAGACATTTGGCATATTAGAGGATACATACATACATAGTTCAGAGCTCATTACCCCCCCAAACAAACAGCTGCTTTTGGAAGAAAACAATATGACTGACAAAATTAAAAACCGCTTGCAAGTACAGTATGTACACATTATTTGCAAAAACTTTCTCGCAAGGTTAAGAGAGTATTTATCATCAGCTTCTGTTACCGGGTTAATACAGTTTGTTGATAACAACATTCCACCCCTGTAAGAGAGAACTGCCTTCCCCTTGTTGAGTGAAACGTGAGGAAGAGGAGAACTGATGCTCTTCTTGACCATGTAGTTACTGTCTGGACCCCCCCCCCCTCCCGCCCCCTCTCCTCCTGCTCCAATCCTCCATGCCTCCGCTGTTCTATAGAGTACATGTAAACAGTTCAACCAGTTACAATTGTCAAAGGGATGCGCTTGAGAATACTCACTCCCCTTCCACTGTTTAAGAGACGCAGCACAACACCGAGTCGTGTTCATTAGGCACCAAATGGAAGAATACGGAAAAAACAGGGGATGGACTTCCTGCACTTGTCAGATAAGAAACACCCATTTCCATAGCAAAACATTTACATGTTTCCGTTGTGTGCCCTGATGAACACGACCCTGCTCTGTCCAGACTCGGTGATAAAACGGATGGAGCAGGCAGGGGAGAGCCCCGAGCATCAACAGAACGTGTAAACAACACAGAAACAGGTGACACTGACTGGAGGACGACTCAGTCATTAGACAAGGCTTTCCAAAACTCACCTCTACCAGCTGACATCATGAAAACACTGAGCAAACCCAAAACAGATTCAGTGACCACCTTATTGACATGACACCACAATAAGAGTTGTGGGTTTGGAAAGGCCAGTAGCTTTTCTCTTTGTTGTGTAAAGAAAATTCCATAGTAAGGTGATAGGTGACAAAGCTCATGTTGGTTTCATGCTGCAAACTATTCAATTCAGGTTGATAGCACCCATTCTTGAATTAATTAAAAACGTAAAAACAACTGTTGCCGGACCGACAGCAACCGGCCTTTTGTAAATCGACTCCCGGGCCAAAGCAGGCAGCAAGGGCAATAATGCACTTATTTCTTTGACATAAAATAAGACAAGGGGGAAACTTTATACCAATAATTTAAAAAATATATCAATATTACACTGTTTACATTAACATCAATGGCTGATGAAAGGGGGGGGGGGGGGGGTCAAAAGCATCCCATCTGTTAAGTTTTTAGGGGAAATTTAGCACTTTTTTTGTTCCCTTTTATTAAAGGGATATGACTGATAAATGGGTACATGATGAGAGAGAGGCCAGAAATACTTAATTAATAAGCAGACATATTCAAGTTTCAGCATCATAGTTCTTCCTGGAAGTGCATGCAGTTCTACCGTCGCGCTATGATCAAAGTATTGCCTTTTACCTTTGTCCACATATTATTATGCGAGAGAAAGAGTCACTTGTTTTATATTTGGATCAAGTCAGAAGATGGCCAACCAATCTCCAAAGTACACCTTCACAAGAGCATTGATTGTTTTGAACATGAATGGTGTACACACGCACAAACACACTGAAAGACACGAGTCTCGCTCACCGATCCATCGTTACAGACTACACAGCAGAGAGCAGGCAAACACACACACACACACACACACACACACACACACACACACACACACACACACACACACGTACACGCCGCTGAACTAAATGGTCAGGCAGACAAACCCCAAGAGACACGAAGACATGACCTGTACAATATTGCTGTACGTTTTTTTCCAAATAGACATCATCAATAATATAGCCACACACACACACACACACACACACACACACACACACACACATCTAGAAGGCCTTGTTACTTCTAACAGAAGAATTGATCACCATAAATACATTGGGTGGGTGTGGCTACTTTCAGACAGTGATGTCATTGTTTTGTAAGGTGAAAAACCACAGGAGGTTTAGTTAAAAGGCTTTTAAAGAGGCCTCAGAGAGGAGTCACAGCGCTCACAAGACAACTGATCTAAAATGGAGAAAGCAGATTGCTGTGATGATGAAGTAGATATATAAGTGTTGTACTTTTACACTGAACAGAGTTCTCATTACCAACAAATCCTCCAGAAGGCTGATCGTATGTATGACAATGTGGTTTTGGAGCAGTGGCACAAAGATGGCATTATGGGTAATGTTGTCCAATGAAACGACTTCCTGTAATGAGTCTAGGTGGAAAAATATACAGGTTAGGACAACGTAATAATTCCACCCCGCCGGCATTAGAAAACAAACAACTTAAATTGGACTAGTGCCGTTGCTAACTAGCATAGCTGGTCCCATTGTTGCAAAGAGTTATGGGATATTAGAATCCCTTTGTCATCTTCAACTTAGTAACGAGTGGAGATAAGACAGACTTTTCTGCCACACAGGTTCTTTCTAGTTACGTAAATGAAAAGGAAAGGGCAGGTCGTTGGAAAGGTAATGCTACTCTGACATTTAAGTTAGCGGTAAGGCCACATCGAATTGGAAGTGTCTGTCTTCTCCGTTATCTCAAATCAATGAATGTTTTAAATGCCACCAGAACTACACACAGGAAGACACCAAGGCCTGGTAAGACAATATACTGACTGACAGATTTGAAGACGTCGACGGATCCTTCTGTGGCGACCAATACAGAAACACGATCTCAACTTTGGATATGTGACATGATTTAGTTTTGACTGTAATAACATACTGTCCTCAGGCTACCATTTCATTTTAACGACTAGACTCATTAAATGTGTTTGAAAACGACAAACTATTTTGTAACTGGAAGAGGAGGCCTAGTTTTTTATATTTTAAATAAATGGAAGAATTCACTTCACCATGGCTCCGTGTGTGATGGAAACGTAGCTGTAACGAGTATTGCAGGCAAGGCAGAGGCATTGCTTAAAGCTTTTCTTTTTAAAGACTTCATTAAAAAAAACAATGAGAATACAAAAATTAGGCCCGCTGAGGTTACTCACAAACAAACCCTCGGTTAGGTAAAAAAAAAAAAATCCCAAGACTAGCAAAGTATAAAAAATTCAACGTTCCGTCGAAAAGACTGAAAAGAGCAGGCATTTAATGGAGACCAGGAAGTAACAGTAGCTATAATACACACGCCAGGTCGGGATTTGGACCCCAAAAAAAGAATCCCAAAGCTCGGAGGAAGAGAATAGAAACTATTTTGGTAACAAAAGTGTACTATATGTTTAATACAAAAAAAGGTGAAAATGTACCTTTACTAAAGCTTATACAAGATCCTTGGTCCACCAAAACGATGTTATCGTCATCACATGGCCCTCTATGTCCGATCCTCACTCTCCTTCCAACAACGATACATTTCATCCCTTTACAGTAACATAGACAACTAACGCCACATTAAAAAACAGAGGGGGGGAAAAAAATGAACAGAGGGAGAAAGAAAGCACACAAAATATACCTTTTTGTTAACGTACTATACATGTGGCGGATGTATCGTTGTTGTGGTCTCGATTTTCTCACGGGCCGTCAAAGACACTGGTGCTCCGAGCCAATAGGAACTCCCTATTCCACAGCTCCAACACCAGAAACCGACAGGTATGTCCCTTAAGAAACCACAAGAGGGCAGCGGCGAGGAGTTCACACAGTTTCTCTTATTTCCGCTGGTTGACATCGTTCCCATCTTAGAATTCCTCCTTTTCCTCCCTTCCCTTTGATCAACTCTACATTTCAGCTTCTTTTGAATCCCAAATCAATATGCAGCACTTTCAGAGAGTCAGTTTTACTTCGTAGTCTTTTTTTACCATGTGGTACGTTTTTTTGCTCTCGAGGCATATTGTGTGTATAAGTGTGTGTGTATAAGGGTGTTAGGACACCACGGCTGCGGCCGTGGACGAGGATGTGACTCCTGCGTTGGAGGTGCTGTTGGGGCCGTAGCTGTTGTTAGCGTCGCTGTTGCCGGCGCTGTTGCTGCTAGCCGTCAGAAGGCGGTCGCTGCCCGCCCGTAGGATGGCTCCGGCGGCGTTGCAGTGTGGCCGCGGCCCGGGCTCCGGCGTGTAGGTGAAGGTGAGCGTGGTGGAGTAGATGATGCCGTCGTTTCGCACCAGCGTGACGGGAACCTGCACCGGCTGCCGCACCCAGCGCCAGCCCTCGCGGAAGGCCGAGATGTCAGGCACCACGCACAGCATGCTCTCCGCACACCTACAGCAGCGAGCAGAGAGATGGAGAGAGAGAGAGAGAGAGTCAGACAGGGTTGACTCTAGCTATTTGACTCATTGTGTGCCGACCTCAGTATAGACTAAGGAAACAAAAAAGTAGGTCATGTAAAGATCTCATGTCAGTTGAGAATCGTCTTTCATGGTCCTTCGAGCAGGATTTGAACAAATGACTTAAGTATACCAATGATAACATGCATCCATCAAGCACTATGGGAGGGCCATGCATTCCATATTATACAACGGGTGGGTCTAATCCTGAACGCTGATTGGTTAAAACCGCATTCCAGCCAGTGTCTGTTCCACAGGTTGCCACCGGCTACATCTATGACGTTAAAATGCCTATTTACTCTGTTCCATCTGACTGCACAATCCACTGTCTCATCAGCCCAGCCAGGCAATTTATAAACTTGATCTCCACAATAAAAAGCATCTAGACATTATCTCACATTTCTTTTAGACTAAGATTTAGTTTTCAACAGCGGAGATTTGCTAAAACTTTGCTGTCTGTCTCTCTGATATTTGCAACATTATTTCAATATTCAAATTCCATCTCCAGCTTCCCCATAGTAACGAACGTGTCAGGAGTCGGGACGAGACGGACAGACAGACAGGGAGCGTTTCTCAGCCAGTCGAAATCATGAATCACCTGGCATAATTTTTATGGATATATACAAAGAAATGTAAATTGAAAAAAGGTCAAAAGAAACAAAGTGCAGCTAGTTTGCAGTCTTTACAGCTTCAGTTTGAAGTGATTGTGTTAGCTGTGTTGTTAGCTTGCTCCTCTGAAAAACAGTGTCTTGACGAGAGAGCACATTTTCTATGCCAGGCGAAATCGCACCTCATTAGCTGTTATGGATGTGTCTAAATAAATGTCACTAGAAAACAGCTTAAACAAATGCAAATGCAGCTACTGTTGTTATTCTGGATGCACTGTTTGACGTGACTGTGAGTTAGCTGTAGTTGGCTAGCTAGCAAGCAAGGGATAAGAACGTTGCCAGCCAGTATGGCAATGGAACATTTAGAACGAACGACTCGTCCATAGATACAGAACGACTGGGGCGCGTCTCTGGCAACCGAACTGATAGAATGAACGACCAGCCGGCTTGGGTAGCAACCCTAGATTTGTGTCAGGACTTTATCTTGTGGAAGGATGAAATAGTATGAATAAATATATGCCAATCATTATTTGAATATGTTGGTAACCCATTGTATAAAAGTGATAATGCCCTCGAAGCCGGTGTTTGGCTCGACTTCGTCTCGGGCCTTACAACACCCGTGCCAATATATCCTCCAAACACCAGCTTCTCGGGCATTACCACTTAAGTGTCTATGATTGGTGTACAAAAACAGTCCTGTAAAACCGCCTATGATACACACATCTAACACAACTGGGTCAAATGGGGACTGTGGCGTTCTCAGTCTACATAAGGACCACTTACACACCATTCTGCAGCCGACAACAACCTCAACATTTCACTCACAGCTTCTCCCAGCAGGGTTTAAAATCCAGGGTGATTCCTACTGTTTATTACAGGACGACAGTGGAGCTCTTTCACCTGCTGTAAAGACCTCTCTCTCTACCTCATGGGTCGCTAATTAATGTATAAAATTCTAAATGGAAAGGAAAAATAGTACCTTTTGAAGAATGTTTGGCATAGACTGATGGGTGCGCTTTGAAAATTGCAATATCTGAGCCTAAACTGAACAAATTAATATTTGTTGAGTTAGTACAAATTAGCCCAGAACATTGCTTTGACTTGGATCAAAGCACGGCTGTAATCTGTCTGGGTTATCCCCTGGTTAGTACTGATATAGAGCTTATAAAGAGTAACAAGGCACGGCTGTAATCTGTCTGGGTTATCCCCTGATTAGTACTGATATAGAGCTTATAAAGAGTAACAAGGCACGGCTGTAATCTGTCTGGGTTATCCCCTGATTAGTACTGATATAGAGCTTATAAAGAGTAACAAGGCACGGCTGTAATCTGTCTGGGTTTATCCCCTGATTAGTACTGATATAGAGCTTATAAAGAGTAACAAGGCACGGCTGTAATCTGTCTGGGTTATCCCCTGGTTAGTACTGATATAGAGCTTATAAAGAGTAACAAGGTCAGACTGAATAGGGACATCCTCTTCCCCTTTACAGAAAGGTGCATCTCATGGATAAAACTAATTAATCGTTTGTAGCTGTTACAGTTTGACTTCATTCTATTCTACTAGTGTTTCTGATTCTAAACCCTTTCTGTCCTAAACAGTCTGTCTGGTCACACTACAGTATTCTGTCCTAAACAGTCTGTCTGGTCATACTACAGTATTCTGTCCTAAACAGTCTGTCTGGTCATACTACAGTATTCTGTCCTAAACAGTCTGTCTGGTCATACTACAGTATTCTGTCCTAAACAGTCTCTGTCTGGTCATACTACAGTATTCTGTCCTAAACAGTCTGTCTGGTCATACTACAGTATTCTTGTCCTAAACAGTCTGTCTGGTCATACTACAGTATTCTGTCCTAACAGTCTGTTGTATATACATATTCTTCAAAAGTCTGTTGGTCATACTACGTATTCTGTCCTAACACATTGTCTGGTATATACAGTATTCTGCCAAACTGCTTGCTGTCAAACACGTCTGTAACTGTCTGGTCATACTACCGATTCATGTAACGTCTGCTGGCTATACGATCTGTCCTAAACCAGTCTGCGGTCATATACAGTACTGTCCTAAAACAGCCTCTGTCTGGTATACTACAGTTTCTGGGTCTAACAGCCCTGTCTGGTCTTACAGTATTCTGTCTACAGTCTGTTGAGTCATACTACAGGACTGCTGTCCTAACATCTGTCTGGTCATACTAAGTATTACTGTCCTAAAAGCTGTTGGTATACTACAGATCTGTCAAACAGTCCGCTGGTCTATACAGTATTCTGGTCCTACCAGTCTCTGGTATACTACGTATTCTGTCTAAAAGTCTGTCTGGTCAACTACAGTATTCTGTCCTAACAGTCTGTCTGGTCATCTACCTGTTATTCTGTTAAACAGCTTTGTATAAGAGTATTCGTCTAAACAGGCTCTGTCTGGTCATACTACGGTATCTGCCTAACGGCCTGTCTGGTCATATATACAGTATTTGTCTAAACAAGTCTGTCTGTAATCTCAGTACTGTCTAACAGTCGTCTGGTATACTACATATGACTGTCTAAAAGTTGTACTGGTCTACTACAGTATCTGTCCTAACAGTCTGTCTGGGCTATCTATTCTGTCCTAAACAGCTTGTCTGGTCATTACGTATTGCCTAAAAGTCAGTCTGTCAACACAGGATTCTGGCCTAAATCTGTCTGGTTCATCCAGTCTGTCCTAACGTCTGTCTGGTCATAACTACTATTCTGTCTAAACAGCTTGGTCATACACAGGTATTCTGTCCTAAACAGTCTGTCTGGTCATCTACAGATTGCTAGTCCTAATACAGGCTTTAGGTCAACTACAGTTCTGTCTAACATCTGTCTGGTCATACACCGTTATTCTGATCCATAAGTCTGTCTGAGTATACACAGACGTCTGTCTAAAGCTCTGTCTGGCTTACATTCTGCCAACAGTCTGTACTGTATACTAAGTATTTGTCCTAAACAGTACATGCTGGTGATACTAGAGCATCTTCCTGTCCTAAACAGGTCTGTCATGGTCTATTACAGTATGTCTGTCCTAAACAGGCTCGTCTGTCACTACAGTATTATGTCCTAACAGTCTGTCTGGTCATACTCAGTATTCCTAAACGTCTGTCTGTCCTACTACAGTATTTGTCCAAACATCTGTCTGGTCATACTACAGTATTCTGTCCTAAACAGGCTCTGTCTGGTCATACTACAGTATTCTGTCCTAAACAGTCTGTCTGGTCATACTACAGTATTCTGTCCTAAACAGTCTGTCTGGTCATACTACAGTATTCTGTCCTAAACAGTCTGTCTGGTCATACTACAGTATTCTGTCCTAAACAGGCTCTGTCTGGTCATACTACAGTATTCTGTCCTAAACAGTCTGTCTGGTCATACTACAGTATTCTGTCCTAAACAGTCTGTCTGGTCATACTACAGTATTCTGTCCTAAACAGTCTGTCTGGTCATACTACAGTATTCTGTCCTAAACAGTCTGTCTGGTCATACTACAGTATTCTGTCCTAAACATCTGTCTGGTCATACTACAGTATTCTGTCCTAAACAGTCTGTCTGGGTCATACTACAGTATTCTGTCCTAAACAGTCTGTCTGGTCATACTACAGTATTCTGTCCTAAACAGTCTGTCTGGTCATACTACAGTATTCTGTCCTAAACAGCTGTCTGGTCATACTACAGTATTCTGTCCTAAACAGTCTGTCTGGTCATACTACAGTATTCTGTCCTAACCGGCTCTGTCTGGTCATACTACAGTATTCTGTCCTAAACAGTCTGTCTGGTCCTACTACAGTATTCTGTCCTAAACAGTCTGTCTGGTCATACTACAGTATTCTGTCCTAAACAGTCTGTCTGGTCATACTACAGTATTCTGTCCTAAACAGTCTGTCTGGTCATACTACAGTATTCTGTCCTAAACAGTCTGTCTGGTCATACTACAGTATTCCTGTCCTAAACAGTCTGTCTGGTCATACTACAGTATTCTGTCCTAAACAGGCTCTGTCTGGTCATACTACAGTATTCTGTCCTAAACAGCTCGGTCTGGTCATACTACAGTATTCTGTCCCGAAAACAGGCTCTGTCTGGTCATACTACAGTATTCTGTCCCCTAAACAGTCTGTCTGGTCTACTACAGTATTCTGTCCTAAAACAGTCTGTCTGGTCATACTACAGTATTCTGTCCTAAACAGTCTGTCTGGTCATACTACAGTATTCTGTCCTAAACAGTCTGTCTGGTCATACTACAGTATTCTGTCCTAAACAGCTCTGTCTGGTCATACTACAGTATTCTGTCCTAAACAGTCTGTCTGGTCATACTACAGTATTCTGTCCTAAACAGTCTGTCTGGTCATACTACAGTATTCCTGTCCTAAACAGTCTGTCTGGTCATACTACAGTATTCTGTCCTAAACAGTCTGTTCTGGTCATACTACAGTATTCTGGTCCTAAACAGTCTGTCTGGTCATACTACAGTATTCTGTCCACAAACAGGCTGTCTGGTCATACTACAGTATTCTGTCCTAAACAGTCTGTCTGGTCCATACTACAGTATTCTGTCCTAAACAGTCTGTCTGGGTCATACTACAGTATTCTGTCCTAAACAGTCTGTCTGGTCATACTACAGTATTCTGTCCTAAACAGGCTCTGTCTGGTCATACTACAGTATTCTGTCCTAAACAGTCTGTCTGGTCATACTACAGTATTCTGTCCTAAACAGTCTGTCTGGTCATACTACAGTATTCTGTCCTAAACAGTCTGTCTGGTCATACTACAGTATTCTGTCCTAAACAGTCTGTCTGGTCATACTACAGTATTCTGTCCTAAACAGTCTGTCTGGTCATACTACAGTATTCTGTCCTAAACAGTCTGTCTGGTCATACTACAGTATTCTGTCCTAAACAGTCTGTCTGGTCATACTACAGTATTCTGTCCTAAACAGGCTCTGTCTGGTCATACTACAGTATTCTGGTCCTAAACAGTCTGTCTGGTCATACTACAGTATTCTGTCCTAAACAGTCTGTCTGGTCATACTACAGTATTCTGTCCTAAACAGTCTGTCTGGTCATACTACAGTATTCTGTCCTAAACAGCTCTGTCTGGTCATACTACAGTATTCTGTCCTAAACAGTCTGTCTGGTCATACTACAGTATTCTGTCTTCCTAAACAGTCTGTCTGGTCATACTACAGTATTCTGTCCTAAACAAGTCTGTCTGGTCATACTACAGTATTCTGTCCTAAACAGTTCTTCTGGTCATACTACAGTATTCTGTCCTAAACATCTGTCTGGTCATACTACAGTATTCTGTCCTAAACAGCTCTGTCTGGTCATGACTACAGTATTCTGTCCTAAACAGTCTGTCTGGTCATACTACATATTCTGGTCCTAAACAGTCTGTCTGGTCATACTACAGTATCTGTCCAAACAGTCTGTCTGGTCATACTACAGTATTCTGTCCTAAACAGTCTGTCTGGTCATACTACGTATTCTGTCCTAAACAGGCTCTGTCTGGTCATACTACAGTATTCTGTCCTAAACAGTCTGTCTGGTCCTACTACAGTATTCCTGTCCTAACAGTCTGTCTGGTCATACTACAGTAGTTTCGTGTCCTAAAACAGTGTCCGGCTCTAGTCTGGTCATACCTGAACCAGTATTCTGTCCTAAACAGTCTGTCTGGTCATACTACAGTATTCTGTCCTAAACAGTCTGTCTGGTCATACTACAGTATTCTGTCCTAAACAGTCTGTCTGGTCATACTACAGTATTGTGTATTAAGTACGGTTGAAAAATTCCGTTAACTTTCCCAAAATGCCCAGGTTTTCCAGAAATCCCAGTTGACTGGACATACCTGAACATTTTTGGAAAAGTTAACATAATTTTGCAACCCCACGTATTGAGACAGCCCAGAGTTTAAAGGAGCAGTGAGGTGCGTCTGTCGGTACCTGTACATGGTCTCTGCCTCCACGTCTCCGAACCAGACCCTCAGGTTTGAAGTGAAGTTCTGTCCAGTCAGCTCCAGCATGGCCACATCACCACCCCCGTTTAGCTACACACACACACACAGAAACACAGACACACACAGACACACACACCAATACAACAACGTGTAAATGTTTTTGTGTTGTTGGCAGAGAAAGAGATGAGATGGAATGGGGTTTAGGGTCTAAAGGGCGTTTGTTTGTACTTGTATGTTTGGAGCACTGAGAGAGGAACAATTTGTTGTTTATAATAGGAATAGAGTGTGCATGTGGCGTACTTGTGCACGTGTGCACGTGTGTGTACGTGTGTGCGTGCGTGCGTGCGTGCACGTGTGTGTGTGTGTGCGTGCGTGCGTGCGTGCGTGCGTGCGTGCGTGCGTGCGTGCGTGCGTGCGTGCGTGCGCGCGTCCCTCTCTAACCTGTAAGCTCTCGACCACAGGCACGGGGGTGACAGGAGAGTGGACGGGGCCCATGCCCTCATAGAAGGTGTACTCAGCCTTGTCCGTGCTGATTATTGTCCAGGACGCTCCGTCGTTGATCATCTCTTTGTTTGGTTCCTTTGGGCATGGAGTGGCCTGGGGGCAGACAGACACACACACACACACACACGTTAAAGGGAGCTGCTAGCGCTTCATCGTATTTCAGATATAGATAGATAGATAGATAGATGAATCCAGGCTCTGTCGTAGCCGGCCGCGACCGGGAGACCCATGGGGCGGCGCACAATTGGCCCAGTGTCATCCAGGGTAGGGGAGGGAATGGCTGGCAGGGATGTAGCTCAGTTGGTAGAGCATGGCGTTTGCAACGCCAGGGTTGTGGGTTCGATTCCCACGGGGGGTAAAAAAAAATTATGTATGCACTCACTAACTGTAAGTCGCTCTGGATAAGAGCGTCTGCTAAATTACTAAAATGTAAAAAAATTAAAAAAAAAAGTAAAATGTAGCTGTGTGTTACAACTGTGGATGTATCCAGGTTTAGTTGTTTCTATGGTGATCTCTGATGTAGAGATAACACCTCCACGAGGAGCCTATTACGTGTCACCCTAACGTTATATTAACTCAGAAGATAAGGATCACTCCAATCCGTCATCTACCGAAGATGGAATCAAAATGGAAGAATAACCTCTTAGCAAAACAAAGACTGTTACCTATTCCAGCAATGGGGACCTGCACAGAGCACTGACAAGGGTTGCCGACCATTTTCAGGTGGGATCTGATCAACAATGTTCAATTTGAAGATTGTAAACTGGGTATCACCATAGGAACCAACTAATGTTCATCATCCAATAATCATTTTCTCATAAGATAATTCTGATTGGTTACTGCAAGTATGGGGTCGATTTAAAAATAATGGCATATGGTAGTGTGTAGTTTGAGTAGAATGTTGTGACTTAATTTAATTGGAAGTTAAAACAACTTCTAATGGATGGTAGTCGTTACTTCTAATGGAAGGTAGTCTCAACTTGTAATGGAAGGTAGTCTCAACTTGTAATGGAAGGTAGTCTCAACTTGTAATGGAAGGCAGTCTCAACTTGTAATGGAAGGCAGTCTCAACTTGTAATGGAAGGCAGTCTCAACTTGTAATGGAAGGCAGTCTCAACTTGTAATGGAAGGTAGTCTCAACTTGTAATGGAAGGCAGTCTCAACTTGTAATGGAAGGCAGTCTCAACTTGTAATGGAAGGCAGTCTCAACTTGTAATGGAAGGCAGTCTCAACGTGTAATGGAAGGTAGTCTCAACGTGTAATGGAAGGTAGTCTCAACTTGTAATGGAAGGTAGTCTCAACTTGTAATGGAAGGCAGTCTCAACTTGTAATGGAAGGTAGTCTCAACTTGTAATGGAAGGTAGTCTCAACTTGTAATGGAAGGCAGTCTCAACTTGTAATGGAAGGCAGTCTCAACTTGTAATGGAAGGCAGTCTCAACTTGTAATGGAAGGCAGTCTCAACTTGTAATGGAAGGTAGTCTCAACGTGTAATGGAAGGCAGTCTCAACTTGTAATGGAAGGTAGTCTCAACGTGTAATGGAAGGTAGTCTCAACTTGTAATGGAAGGTAGTCTCAACTTGTAATTGAAAGTAGTTTTTCACTCACTTGAAACTGGATAATCCTCTCTTGGGAAAGGCACAGGTACATGCGCTCTGTGTCCTTCAGGTAGAAGGAACACTTGTGGAGCTGGGAGACGGGGTCGTCTGCATCCAACAAGGCCGTCTGCTTGTCCACCTTACGGATGATCTGACACACACAGACAGGATGGTGTTTAGTTGTCGGAGCTCAGTGTACAAATAACATCAGTAACTTTCATGAATGTGTGTGTGTGTGTGTGTGTCTGTTGGTAATTAAGATAGAAAGAGAGGGAGAATATTAACATAAAAAAAGACTTACACAAGACACAAAAATAAAGAGTTCTGTGAGAAACATGGAGAGAGGTGAGAAACATGGAGAGAGGTGAGAAACATGGAGAGAGGTGAGAAACATGGAGAGAGGTGAGGAAACATGGAGAGAGGTGAGAAACATGGAGAGAGGTGAGAAACATGGAGAGAGGTGAGAAACAGACATAAAAAAGAGAGTGAAGTGGTGGGCAGTACCAGTCGTGGCAGGGCCATCCCAGTGACCGAGCAGACCAGTTTGACAGTCTGTCCGTAGTGGATGTAGCCATCTCTCACAGTGAACTCCTCTCCTTCAGACTCCTCGTCATCCACTGGGGAACAGGACACACAACATTAATCTTATGTTACAATAGCACATACCCTTACACTGAGTATGAAGCATTTTAGGGTGGAAATATAATGTAAGGCCAGCCTCTCTACAACTCCATTTAAAACAAAGCATGATATTGCCATTTGGTAAATAACAATTCACACACACACACAGTGCATTTGGAAAGTATTCAGACCCCTTGACTTTTTCCACATTTTGTTACGTTACAGCCTTATTCTAAAATGAATTAAATAAAAAAAGATCCTCAATCTACACACAATACCCCATAATGACAAAGCGAAAACTGTTTTTTTGAAATGTTTGCAAATGTATACAAAATAAATAACAGAAATACCTTATTTACATAAGTATTCAGACCCTTTACTATGAGACTCGAAATTGATCTCAGGTGCATCCTGTTTCCATTGATCATCCTTGAGATGTTTATACAACTTGGTTGGAGTCCACCTGTGGTAAATTCAATTGATTGGGCATGATTTGTAAAGGAACACACGTGTCTGTATAAGGTCCCACAGTTGACAGTGCATGTCAGAGCAAAAACCAAGCCAAGAGGTCGAAGGAATTGTCCGTAGAGCTCCGAGACAGGATTGTGTCGAGGCACAGATCTGGGGAAGGGTACCAAAAGGGCCTTGGTCAGGGAGGTGAACAAGAACCCAATGGTCACTCTGACAGAGCTCCAGAGTTCCTCTGTGGAGATGGGAGAACCTTCCAGAAGGACAACCATCTCTGCAGCACTCCACCAATCAGGCCTTTATGGTAGAGTGGACAGACGGAGGCCACTCCTCTGTAAAAGGCACATGACAGCCTGCTTGGAGTTTGTCAAAAGGCACCTAAAGACTCTCAGACCATGAGAAACAAGATTCTCTGGTCTGATGAAACCAAGATTGAACTCTTTGGCCTGAATGCCAAGTGTCACGTCTGGAGGAAACCTGGCACCATCCCTACGGTGAAGCATGGTGGTGGCAGCATCATGCTGTAGGGATGTTTTTCAGTGGCAGGGACTGGGAGACTAGTCAGGATCGAGGGAAAGATTAACGGAGCAAAGTACAGAGAGATCCTTTATGAAAACCTGTTCAAGAGCGTTCAGGACCTCTGACTGGGGCGAAGATTCACCTTCCAACAGGACAATGACCCTAAGCACACAGCCAAGACAACGCAGAAGTGGCTTCGAGACAAGTCTCTGAATGTCTTTGAGTGGCCCAGCCAGAGCCCGGACTTGAACCCGATCGAACATCTCTGGAGAGACCTGAAAATAGCTGTGCAGTGACGCTCCCCATCAAACCTGACAGAGCTTGAGAGGATCTGCAGAGAAGAATGGGAGAAACTCCCCAAATACAGGTGTGCCAAGCTTGTAGCATCATGCCCAAGAAGACTCGATGCTGTAATCGCTGCCAAAAGTGCTTCAACAAAGTACTGAGTAAAGGGTCTGAATACTTATATAATGATAATGTTTTTGCTTTGTCATTATGGGGTATTGTGTGTAGATTGATGAGGGGGGAAAAAAAACAATTTAATCAGTTTTAGAATAAGGCTGTAACGAAACAAAATGTGGAAAAAGTAAAGGGGTCTGAATGTTCAGGTCTCTCCAGAGATGTTCGATCGGGTTCAAGTCCGGGCTCTGGCTGGGCCACTCAAGGACATTCAGAGACTTGTCCCGAAGCCACTCCTGCGTTGTCTTGGCTGTGTGCTTAGGGTCGTTGTCCTGTTGGAAGGTGAACAGTCACCCCAGTCTGAGGTCTTGAGCGCTCTGGAGCAGGTTTTCATCAAGGATCTCTCTGTACTTGGCTCCGTTCATCTTTCCCTTGATCCTGACTAGTCTCCCAGTCCCTGCCGCTGAAAAACATCCCCACAGCATGATGCTGCCACCACCATGCTTCACCGTAGGGATGGTGCCAGGTTTCCTCCAGACGTGACGCTTGGCATTCAGGCCAAAGAGTTCAATCTTGGTTTCATCAGACCAGAGAATCTTGTTTCTCATGGTCAGAGAGTCTTTAGGTGCCTTTTGGCAAACTCCAAGCGGGCTGTCATGTGCCTTTTACTGAGGAGTGGATTCCGTCTGGCCACTCTACCATAATGGCCTGATTGGTGGAGTGCTGCAGAGATGGTTGTCCTTCTGGAAGGTTCTCCCATCTCCACAGAGGAACTCTAAAGCTCTGTCAGAGTGACCATCGGGTTTCTTGGTCACCTCCTTGACCAAGGCCCCTTTCCCCTGATTGCTCAGTTTGGCCGGGCGGCCAGCTCTAGGAAGAGTCTTGGTGGTTCCAAACTTCTTCCATTTAAGAATGATTGAGGCCACTGTGTTTTTGGGGACCTTCAATGCTGCAGAAATGTTTTGGTCCCCTTCCCCAGATCTGTACCTCGACGCAATCCTGTCTCGGAGCTCTACGGACAATTCCTTCGACCTCTGTCAACTGTGTGACGTTATATAGACAGGTGTGTGCCTTTCCAAATCATGTCCAATCAATTGAATTTACCACAGGTGGACTCCAATCAAGTTGTAGAAACATCTCAAGGATGATCAATGGAAACAGGATGCACCTGAGCTCCATAACGAGTCTCATAGCAAAGGGTCAAAATACTTATGTACATAAGGTTTTCTGTTTTTTTATTTTTAATAAATGTGCCAAAACCTCTGAAAACCTGTTTTTTGATTTGTCATTATGGGGTATTGTGTGTAGATTGATGAGGAAAACATTTAATTTAATCCATTTTAGAATAAGGCTGTAACGTAACAAAATGTGGAAAAAAGGAAGGAGTCTGAATACTTTCCGAATGCACTGTACATTGCCCTTGCACACATACATTACCCATACACTCTGAGTATGAAGCATTTTTACAGTGTGTGTGTGTGTGTGTGTGGTGTGTGTGTGTGTTTGTACGAGACTCACACAGGTGGATGTAGAAGGCACCCCATTGCTGGGAGCTGGCGTGGAAGTTACCCCCCTCCACATGTAGGTAGCGTGTGCTGACCGTCTGGGACCGCAACCGGTTGAACAGGGCCACCTTGGTCCCCGATGCGATACACACTGCAGTTAGAGAGACACACAGAGAGAGAGATAAAGAGACCACACATGTCCCCCGTCTAGGTGGTGAGATATGTCCCCCGTCTAGGTGGTGAGATATGTCCCCCGTCTAGGTGGTGAGATATGTCCCCCGTCTAGGTGGTGAGATATGTGAGAACAAGCCCAACATGTCCCCCGTCTAGGTGGTGAGATATGTCCCCCGTCTAGGTGGTGAGATATGTCCCCCGTCTAGGTGGTGAGATGTGTGAGAACAAGCCCAACATGTCCCCCGTCTAGATGGTGAGATGTGTGAGAACAACAACAAGAGAAGAAGAGGGTAGAAAGCAGACACAAAACAAACACTGTAGCTACTTAAACAATATTGAACAAAGGGTCATTTTCATGCATCAGTTGTCATCTGGTTTTTGAGCTGTAGCGCCATCTAGCTACCAGACTGGCAAACACGGAAACTTTGTTGAAGAGCAATACTAGCCTTGTGAACGGTAGATCAGCATTGGTTTACCACGATAGAATAGAGTAAAGGGTTTCAATACACATATTTCACGAGCCACGTCATGTTAGATCAATGATTACCTCAAAGAGAGTAAGGAAGGATGCATTTCAAAGCATTTGAGCAGGGACCTAAGGACTGATACTAACATTGTGTGTGTTTGCGCGTTGGCATTTGTGTGACTCACGGTCTGCGTTCTTCAGGGACTGTTTCTTCTTGGAGGGCTTGGAGATGACTTTGATTCTCTTACTCAGGAAGACGCCGATGTCGGCGCTGTTGCCGTAGAACATCTTGACCGACAGCATGAAGTGCTTTCTCTTGTCGGAGTCTGATATGTACAAGGTTTTGGCTGTGCAATAGTTCTGAGTGGGACGGAGGGAGAAAATAAGGCCAGGCACCAGTTAGTCATTACTTTGGTGTGTGGAGAGAGAGAGAGCGAGAGCGAGAGCGAGAGCGAGAGCGAGAGAGAGAGAGAGAGAGAGAGAGAGGGGGTGAGAGAGAGCGAGAGTGGGGGAGGGGGAGAGGAAGTG